CTCTATCTTGGTCACATTTAGTTGAAAAGTGCATTTGCAAAAATCCTCCATCCCAAAGCAACTTTTTTTTTTAAGGTAAAGGTCAGTTTTGTGACTTGGTTGGAGTAGGCTTACCACACTTCCTCACCAGGTACATTGAGAGAGCCTTGAGAAGATACAACCAAAGAGCTGACTTTAATAGTTACTTCCAAGTGGATAAAAATGTATTATCTATATAATAAAACAAGACCCACAACTTAAAAAAAAAAACACAAAAAAACCAAAAAAACATTCTACATGTGTTTATAGGCATTGAATGCTATCAAGTAATTTTGCCAAAGCAAGCAAAACCATTCTCTTGAGGTTGAGAACTGATGGAAGTCTCAGTTCATAGCTCATGGCCGATTGAATTCGGCATGTAGGAACATCCAAGTCCAGCTAAAGCTTTTTCAAGGTCTGGAGGACTCACAAGGGTACTGTCTACCATGGTTTCCCTGATAGCTGGTAGGAACTGCCAATATAAGTCTCTTGTCTCCACCTCGCCACTAACTTTCATGAAACCTGTAAAAACTCAGTTAGTTTCGAGACCTTTATCTCCTTGTTGTATTTGGTTGAAAGGGGTTTTGTCTGAAGGCGGCCAAGGTTCTTCAGGACAGAGAGATAGGATGGCACACAGACAGACATACTCATATCCAGAGTAAGCATGAACAGTTGCTTCTGTTACCTTATGGCTGTGTAAATCAGGATACTAAAATCAGTGGAGCAGTATATATTTAAGAAAATGGACAATGAATAAGAAGATAATCTCTCCCACTCTCCAGTTTTGTTTTATATTTAAAAAATAGGAATTGGGCTTCTCCCCCCAAAAAGGTGGCAGGATCAATAGCCCAGGTGAAGGCCATCTACTCCAATGTACGCATCACGGGCAACATACAGGAGGAGCTGGAAGCCACTGTGCAGCTGGAAAACTATGATATAGTTCCAGTCATGGAAACATAGTGGGATGACTCACACAACTGAAGTGCTGCAATGGATGGCTATAAACTCTTCAGAAAGGACAGGCAACGAAGGAGAAGCAGTGGGGTAGCCCTGTATGTTAGGGGGCGTTTTGACTGTCTAGACCTTGACAATTGTGGTGAAATTGTTGATGGGTGAGAATCAAGGGAAAGGCCAACAAGGCAAATAGCATGGCAGGAGTCTGTTACAGACCACCCTACCAGGAAGAAGACACAGATGAAGTATTCTGTAAGCAGCTGGGAGAAGTCCCATGATCACTAGCCCTTGTTCTTGTGGGGGGACTTCAACTTACCAGAAGTCTGCTGGAAACACAATACACCAGAGAGGAAACTGTCTCAGAGGTTCCTGGAGAATGTGGGAGACAACTTCCTGACACAGCTGGTGAGCCAGCCAACTAGGGAAGGCTCCCCGCTGGACCTGTGGTTTGTGAACAGAGAAAGACTTGTGGGTGATGTGATGGCTGGAGGCCATCTTGGGCACAGTGATCACGAAGTGATAGGGTTTTTGATTCTTGGAGAAGTAAGGAGGGGTGTCAGCAGAACTGCCATCTTGGACTTCGGAGGGCAGACTTTGGCCTGTTTAGGAGCCTGGTTGACAGAGTCCCTTGGGAGGCAGTCCTGAAGGGCAAAGGAGTCCAGAAAGGCTGGACATTCTTCAAGAAGGACATCTTAAAGGTGCAGGAGCAGGCCGTCCCCATGTGCTGAAAGACAAGCTGGCAGGGGAGAAGACCGGCCTGGCTAAACAGAGAGCTTTGGCTTGAACTCAGGGAAAAAAGAGAGTTTATGACCTTTGGAAGAAGGGGCAGGCAACTCAGGAGGACTACAAGGATGTTGTGAGGTTATGCAGGGAGAAAATCAGAAGGGCCAAAGGGCCAAAGCCCAGCTAGAAGTTAATCTGGCTACTGCTGTAGAAGAGAATAAGGAAATGTCTCTATAAATACATTAACAACAAAAGGAGAGCTAAGGAGAAACTTCATCCTTTATTGGAGGCAGGGGGGAAGCAGTGACAAAGGATGACGAAAAGGCTGAGGTACTTAATGCCTTCTTTGCCTCAGTCTTTAATAGTATGACCAGTTGTTCTCGAGGTACCCAGCCCCCTGAGCTGGAAGACAGGGATGAGGAGCAGAATGAAGATCACATAATCCAAGGGGAAATGGTTACCAACCTGCTACACCACTTAGACATGCACAGGTCTATGGGCTGGATGGGATCCACCAAAGGGTACTGAGGGAGCTGGTGGAAGTGCTCACTGAGCCACTTTTCCATCACTTATCAGCAGTCCTGGCTAACCGAGGAGGTCCCAGTTGACTGGACATTAGCAAATGTGACACCCGTCTATAAGAAGGGCTGGATGGAGGATCTGGGGAACTACAGGCCTGTCAGCCTGACCTCAGTGCTGGGGAAGATTATGGAATGGTTTGTCTTGAGAGCACTCACATGGCAAGTCCAGGATAAGAAGGGGATCAGGCCCAGTCAGCATGGGTTTATGAAAGGCAGGTCCTGCTTGACTAACCTTATCTCATTCTATGAGAAGGTGACCCACTTAGTGGATGTTGTTTACCTGGACTTTAGTAAAGCCTTTGACACTGTTTCCCACAGCATTCTCCTGGAGAAACTGGTTTCTCATGGCTTGGACGGGTGCACTCTTCGCTGGGGAAAAAACTGGCTGGCTGGCCCCAAAGAGTGGCGGAGAGTGGAGTTAAATCCAGTTGGCAGCCAGTCACAAGTGGTGTTCCCCAAGGCTCGGTGTTGGGCCCGGTTCTGTTTAATATCTTTATCAATGGTCTGGATGAGGGGATCGAGTGCACCCTCAGTAAGTTTGCAGGCAACACCAAGTTGGGCAGGAGTGTTGATCTGCTGGAGGGTAGGAAGGCTCTACAGAGGGATCTGGACAGGCTGGATCGATGGGCTGAGGCCAATTGTATGAGGTTCAACAAGGCTCAGTGCCAGGTCCTGCACTTGGGTCACAAGAACCCCAGGCAATGCTACAGGCCTGGGGAAGAGTGGCTGGAAAGCTGCCCGGCGGAAAAGGACCTGGGGGTGTTGGTCAACAGCCAGCTGAATATGAGCTCGCAGTGTGCCCCGGTGGCCAAGAAGGCCAACGGCATCCTGGCTTGTGTCAGAAATCGTGTGGCCAGCAGGACTAGGGAAGGGATTGTCCCCCTGTACTCGGCACTGGTGAGGCCGCACCTCAAATACTGTCTTCAGTTTTGAGCCTCTCACTACAGGAAAGACATTGAGGGGCTGGAGCGTGTCCAGAGAAGAGCAACAGAGCTGGTGAAGGGTCTAGAGAACAAGTCTTACAAGCAGCGGCTGAGGGAACTGGGGTTGTTTAGTCTGGAGAAAAGGAGGCTGAGGGGAGACCTTATTGCTCTCTGCAACTATCTGAAAAGAAGCTGTAGCGAGGTGGGGGTCAGTCTCTTCTCCTAAATAACAAGCGACAGGACAAGAGGAAATGGCCTCAAGTTGCACCAGGGGAGGTTTAAATTGGATATTAGGAAAAATTTCTTTACTGAAAATGTCAAGCATTGGAACAGGATGCCCAGGCAAGTGGTGGAGTCAGCATCCCTGAAGGTATTTAAAAGATGTGTAGATATGGTGCTTAGCGACATGGTTTAGTGGTGGACTTGACAGTGCTACGTTTACGGTTGGACTTGATCATCTTAAAGGTCTTTTCCAACCTAAACGATTCTATGATTCTATACTGCCCATTTTTGACTACGCTGCACACAGCTCTTGTTTAAGACAAGCTGTTTGGACAGACAGAAGTGAAGAAGCAGAGAAAACAGTCCAGAGGTTTTCTTACTCTAAATTTTAAATTCACAAAATTTTGTGTTTGGGAGATGCTACTAGGGATAGAAGTTTCTGTATACAGTCCACTGACTATTCTGAATAGGCGACTTTTTTTTTTTTAATCAGAAAAGTAATGTGAATACTATAGAGTCAGTGTTGTAATTGATATGCGGAACCGGGATTTACTTCAACTTTAATCATTCAGAAATTACAACTCTACTAGTTTAATCATCTATGCTTTCCTCATACCCAATGGAGAAAGATATACGGGAGGAATTAAACTCTCAAAATTACTGTCTCTTCAAAGCCTAAAGATTTGATGCCTACATATCAAGCTTTTAGATGGACAAAGTTAGGTCAGAAGTATCTCACCCTTACAAAGCAGCCTATTGAATCTGTTAACATCAGGATGAATTTTCAGTATTCATGAGATCCATAGATTTGTTCCAGTAACAACATTAAACCCTTTATTACCCTGACAAGGCAAATAATTAAGTGATAATGTCTGAGGACTGTGGTCTCAAAAACCTTTAGCAAAATGGCAAGCATTGTTTCTTTTTATAGCTGGCTTTTGCACCAGATACAAAAGATGTTCTCCAGATGCAAGAAAGCCAGGATATCAAGTGATTGCTGGGTATGTAAGTTAGGTGTATGTAAATGACAGGAAAGGTAGAAATAAAAGGATAGAAAAGGGAAGCAAATATAGTTTGCTGCACGACTCGCCGTCTCAGCTTTATTTAGGAGAATAATACTGGCTGTATCACCAAATCCAGAATTTCATGGAAATGATATAATGAAATCTTAAAGGAAAGTCTTCAAATTAAAAGTACATGCTATCTACCAGACACCTAGCCATATATTTCATTCAAAGTATTTCTACAGATTGATACCATAAACTCATTTTCACATGATGTAACATCTGTGTTTATTTTACTGAGACTAATGGAATTTTAAAAATAATCCATTTAAATTTGTGTCATACAAACATTTTGGTAAAAGAAAATTTGACATCTGAGAGAAAACCTAAACACCTACAATTTTTATATGCAACGTATTTTCTATATGTGCTTCTTACAACTACAACAGACCTTTCTTTAAAAGAAAACCAAACAATGTTTGTTTTTTATTTTTACCTACTCTATCAGCTTCCAATGTAAGTAAGTTTTTGTGCAGAAGAAATACACTATACAGAAGCACAGAGATCTGTCTTACCTTCTGGCTCCCTGATCTTACGTCCTGCTGCAGATTTTCGTAGCACACTCCGTCCTGAGTTGAACAAGCTAGTTAACTCATCAAGGGGACTGGTCAATGACCTTGAGTTTGTAGGGTTGTATGGAAATGAAGATGATGAATTTGAGTTCAATTTCCTGTGATCTGCTCTTGCCACCTTTGGGGAGTAAGGCAGTTTGGAGAATGGAGAAAATGAGCATCCAAGCTGAGCAGGATTTGGTCTCTGAGGTACTTTTGACAGATCTGAGTTTGTACCCGTTTTCCCTGTATTAATCAGAAAACTAGCACAAGTCTCTGGAGGAAATGCAAAATGTGTGGAAGCCCGGTAGGAAATAGGAGGTGGTACTGGAGGAGGGGGTGGTGGGAGAGGAGGAGGTGGTGTGGAAGGAGGGGTCACCTTGCTGGAAACATTGAACACAACCAAGCCTGGAGATGCTGGTCTTTCATTCTCCCCTTTCTGGCTTTTGGAGTACTGTGGTGATAATGGACTTGAGCCTTCTGACTGCACAGGGTATTTTAGGTTGGTTTCCAAGACAGGAAGCTTTTTGACTTCTAGTGGTGTTAGAGGTGATTCATCAGAAGCAGGTGAACATGTGACAGGGGTTGGAGGAAATACAAGAAGTGGTGGCCTGTGGGGGAGCAAGTTAGGGAAAGGGGCTGGAATGTCACATGAGTCTTTATAGATCAAAGCTGCTTGACTGTTTCCACCCAATGTTCCATCTTCAATGTTAACATTTTTTTTGCTTTCAAACAACAGAGGAGGAGATCCAGTCACTACTGGAATTATTCCATTACCATTGCTTCCTTCTTCTGGTAGAAAATACTTCATTTCTTCATATACAGACTCTCCTTGTTCTGGACTTTCTGCTTCAGCAGAACTGCTTTTCATTGCATTCCCTACCATTTCAATATAGACAGGCTCATTTTCCTCCTCTTCCTGAGACATATAGAGACTCAACACACCATGTTGTGGCCCATCCGCAGAAGCTGCTCTCTGTACCGTCACAGCGTCATAGCCACCTGGTTTAGCTACTGTGCTTGCCTGTTTTACATCCCCAGGCTTTTGGCCAGGTATTTCTTCATAAGAGCCACTAAGTTTCGTATTGGGACTTCGTTTTGGTTTTCTGGGAGGTATTTTTTTCATGGTACTATAGTCATCACTGTGTGGCCTTGGACGGGTCAGTACTAGGAAAATGAAAAAGGTCTGTGTTATTAACAGATCAAAGTCAGTTTTTTCTTACACAGGTCTAGTACTTTAAGCCTTCAAATGCTGCCCATCTAGTTTTACAATTAGCAGAAGTCACAAACACAGGGATTCAGTGAAAAGTATAAATATTACAAGGAATGAAACCCAGACCTTTCAGCTTCCAAACTACAAGCCTTTGCTACCTGGGCATATAATCTGCTTTAGTAATCTCTACTGCCACTAGAAGATGAGAACTAACACGTGAGGAGAAATCTTTTGAATCCAAATGTTCACTGCAAGATCTGTAACACATGGAAATACATGCTTGTTATTCCTTTTGCCCCAAGGGAGAGGGACATGCTTTTAACTAGGAGTTTCAGCATGGTGCTACTTTGACACACATATTATTGCCAGTAACTGAAGTATCCCCTTTTCATGTAGGATCAATAAAACTCTAATTATAGAAAGATATTATGCCTATCTCTTCTTCTTTTGTACAGCAGGTGTGGAAATAAAGTTAGGGAATCCCATAGCCTAAAGGCAATTCCCCCCACCTGAGTATACAGCTAACTAAACTAGATGTCTTTTCACAGCCTCCAGGCATGTACGGAGTGGAGAGTCTAGATACCTAGGTGATTGGTCTTTTAAGATCAAAATTAGATGGTGTAAAACAGAGGTGGTTTTGGACAAAGACTCAGGAAACTGACATAGTTCTTGGAAAATGAGTATACAGCAGGGAAACTGGCCCCATTGTTTCATACATACAAGAACTCCAAAGTTGTTTTGTAAGTGTGTACAAGCATTAGTGCTAAGACCACATGTACATATATAAATTGTCATTCTTTAAAAAATTGCTGCTAGAGCTTTTTGGTTAAATCAATCATCTCTTGCAGAGCTGGGCATAGAAAGCTGAAACCACTACAGAGCTCCTTAAGCCATACTAGTTTAAAAGTATATTGGACACAGTTCATCTCTCCTCACACAGTGCTTGTGTAGGAAAGACAATTAACTCTATCCCAGCTGAAACCAGGACAACGAGCAAGGAAGAGGTTAAGAAAAATGAACTTGCATCTAATGAAGAGGACATGAGAATGGTAATCATTTTGCAAGAGGAAGCTGCAAAGATTTCCATCCATTGTATGCAGGATTAAAGAATGGTTATACATAGCTTTAAACCCAACTTGAAGGATCTTCCCTGATAAGCCAGAGGATCCTTTACACAAAGCATGACAAGACAGGTTTACCAAGGACAAGCAGAATGCATTCCTTCCCCTCATCTTCTACTCATTCATTTCAAGGGTGAAGGAGGACAGAACAACTGAACTCAAAACCATTCTATATGCACTGAGATATGCATTGAGACACTCTGGGACTTTCACAGCACTTTCCTTCTAAACAAAAATTTCACTGTAAGCAAGTTATGGCACAAACATAAACCACTGGATGCATAAGTTATTCATGTGAACACAGAGAAAAAGTAGGAAAAAGTTTAATGTTTAACTTGGTGAAATTCAAGATTCAAGCGTTCAGTTTTAGTGATGCAAGACATTCTAATGTACAGTTTAAGAGGTGAAATAAAATGGTCAGTGGGGTAGAATAGCTCAAGTTGATTGAGCATTTGTCTCTAGATGGAGTTCTGCAAATAGGTTTTGGTTGTTGACAAACTAGGCAACTAGAACACATGAGTATTATTTGCTGATTTGGAAACAAATGACAAATTGACTAATTTTATTTACTGCCACTGAAATATTTCAGGGAAGCAGGACTTTACAAAGGTGGTTGACTGTGTTTAGAAGGATCAAAGTGAAAAGAATAAATCAGTAACTTAGAGTAACATTTGTGACTGTTCCTCCCTTTCTGCCTAACCTTCATTAGCGGTTTCCTTAGAAGCTGCCGACAAGCAAGCACTAACAGCCTCATACGAAGCACTCAGTCGTGTGTTGGGGTCCCTCTTTGGTTTGGGAGGAGGCTGTTTCCTTGGTGATGGCAGGCTATTGCTATCGTCCATGCTGAACACGGAGTGCAGGGAGGGGGATCTGATGGATGACCCAGCCGCAGAATGTACCAAGCCGTCCACTGCCATGGGGACAGGGACGGAGCTGGAATGAAAGTGCTTAGGCGTTCGACAGCCGGCAAAGCTGTCCTCAGAGACCTTCCCACCCTTGTCTTCAGCTCTGAAAACACAGAAAAGAGGCCCAGATGCATTATTCAAGCGATAACAATGAACCTGTTCATGCAAACATAACAACAGCTTTTTGGTAAACAATCTCACAACTCCCCTGCTGTGTCGAGGGGATGTGTGTAGTAATCTTCTGACAAACAAATCCAGATCAAGCTGCTAGCTTTCTTCCATTTCCTGTTTCATGATAAATCAGGACACCGGCCCTTTTTCACACAAATGCAGCCTTCCTTAAGCAGTTTCATATTGTTGATCAGAGATTCACCGAATGAATTGTTCACACTTTGATTGTTACTCACAATCAAAAGCTGGGTTTTCAATCTGAATGATAATTTCTGGAAAATCCATTTTAATAGAAAGTTACTGAGGCAGCAAATGCTGAGCCTTTATCATTATTTTCTAAAAAGACAACTATCAATTCTCTTTAGATAATGCAAATCTTCTAAAGTATTAGATGACCTTTTTAACCAGCTACATTGGCTGCTTGAACAATTCCACCCAGGTATCTAGATATCTTCCTGTTTAAGGTTAATAATTAGTTATCAATTTAGTAATATTAATTATGACATTATGTTTAGGTATTTCAATCACAGTTTTGGAGTTTTACTTATTCCAATTTTTTCCTTTTTTAACTATTTCAATATATATTGAGAAATGATGTTTATCAGTGGCTTCCAACAAATTGATTTTTAACAAAAATTCTTCTAACATTTTATTTCTCCAAAAATCAAAACATTGAAAATTTTTTAAATTAAGAGTGGTAATATATTAGATAGAAGATATCTATACTGTCATTTTACAAACAAATCCCCAAGCATTTGTTTTTTGAAATTGTATTTCTGCATGGCAAATCACCAGCAGAGCTGGAACTCATGCACAGGATATAGCCAGCTGCCCATGTAGTAAATGAAATAGCTAAAGATGAAAGCATGGTGCTCAGTAGATAATTTGTTTTCACTGTAATGTTTAATTACAGTCTTTCCTACAAAGGCATTTCCTCCAATATGTAATCACTGGGATATTTGAAGCTAATTAAGCAGATGCACTGCCATTTTCACTTTAATAAAAGTCATTGACAAAAGCAATGAAAGCAAAGGGAGTTGTTCTGGATGAAAATTAAGTTCCTATGGAAAAATAAACATTTATATGTCCAGCAAGTTACAGACACATTCCTGCTACAGACACATACCTATTAACTACAAATGCTACCTCTGCCCATTCAGCTGTCTGAGAGAAAAGAGATCAGGGACTCAGTCCCTAGAGAAAGGCTCTCCAGCTTTTGCTGGTTTTGTAAAATAGGTACTCCTGAAAACTCTGACGGGAATTAAGCAAAAAACACTTGCCCATTTTTAAATAAGAGGAAAGAATCCTCCTCACAATGAATCTACCTAGTTCAATGCGTAATCAGGATTTCTTGGTCTGGACTTTATTGTATTTTAATGCCTTCCTAGCTGTTTTTCATTATCTTGGCAATTTCCCAATGTTGGAATTTTAAGTTAGAGGAATTTTTCTTCTTTGTTGGGTTTGATGAAAGTTCAACTATAAACTATTTATCGTAGAATTAAAAAATATTTCTGTAAAAAATAAATGCCTCAGAGACTTGAGTAAGTTCCTATAAAGCTCACTGTCCCCTGAATAGGATATTAGGAGTGTCCTTTTAGTTTCTAGACTTACCTGATATACAGAAAAAAAAATAGGGCCTAACATTGATTCGGGCTGAGTATATACTTGAGAATGGTCTTGCAATTCCTCAGTTGTTTCTATGACTTTCTAAGCAGGGAAGGAAAACACTAAAACTGAAGAAACGCTTTAATTCTTCACAGTAGATGTTTTCTCATCTTACCTTTTGTGGCCTTCTTCTGGTCTGCTTCTAGCCTCTAACTTTTCCCTGTGGTAAGCAGCGTTCATCTCATTGCGGAGCCTGTCATTTTCCCGAGCAATGTCAGAAGCATTTTGAATGACCAAGGCATCATATGTTTTCAGTCCCATATCCTCAGCATTCTGCAAGAAACTTTTGATTGAGGTGACCTCTTGCTGTTTGATGCTCACCTTCTGTAGTAAGCGCTGGCGAGCTAGAAATCCTCTTACAACTACCATAACAGAAGGAGAAAATACGGACCAGTGAAAGACAACTCATTAGTTGGTGAAAAACTTAATATTACTGTGTGTTTTGCTGTAAACATGAGCAAATCAAGTTCAGTCAACATCTTATACAAAGAACAACAGAAATGTGATGGCATATAAATAACATACTAAAATGGAACTCTTTCTGGTTTCTATTGCCAGTGCTTAAAACAAAGTATTGACAGTAAATTCATTCATAATTTTGAGCTATGAAAACTCATAATGTTTACTTTCACTGAACATTATTTTTTATTACATTACAACTGGAAACTTAGATGTATGCTACAGATTGTGAAAGCATACATTTACACTGCAGAGGTCAAAAGATTCTTTATTTCAAAATAAACCCCTGAATGAACGATTGTTGCACTGAATGCAGTAGGAATTAAATGATCATTTGCTTTTGGTCAGCTTTAAAAAATGCTTTAAATATTTTGGTGTACCTAAAAAAAATCAAAACCAAAACTGACACAAGGTTTTTTAGTGTAAATTAAAGACCTTTTGTTGCTCATTTCCTTTCAACAAAACCGATTAGATTAATGTGAATTTCTCAAATGTATCTGTCACATCATGTCTGTATTTTTCAGTTTAGAATTTTCATCTGCATTGCATCAGCTTTATGTATCTATTACGCCTTTTTTTCAAACTCTTTGTTAGCCTTATGTTGGGAGAAGATTTTGGTGTGTCTCGTAATAGCTTTCTCTACTACCTTCCTAAGTGTGTACATTCATTACAACAAATTCTACCCAATCTAAATACCACCTAGTCTCCTGAATTTTGAGAAGTACTCAGTTGATCAGAAACACAAGGCACAGGGACTTCCGTGGCCATGATGAATTCGGCACCAATTTAATCACTCCACCTATAACAAGCAGTATTCTCTGAGCATATGTTTGGCTTAGAAGGAAGAAATGTGCTAACTGAAGGTGCTTTATTTGTGGTTTGGTTTTTTTTTTAAGTTCCACAAGATCCCGATTCTTTCCAGATCTAGAATCACTGCTGTGTACCTCACAGGGAAGAACCTGTTTTAGAATTACTCGCTTGTTGCCCGAAATACTGTCAATTTTCAGTACACCAACTTACATGTATCAAAACCAGGTCAAACTTCATCGTTGCTTATTATGGTTACTCTTGTTCTGGTCAACTGAAAGTTTTTCATAAGTGAAGTCAGCAGGCAATAGCCTGTATAAGATGTTCATTTGAGTTTGGGGGAAAATACTGAAAATGTTAGTATTAAGATTGTAAGATAAAAAAAATGCTAAAATGCATTAGGCCTTTTTAACAATGTAATTAAGTTTCAGTCTTAGGAACACTGCAGAACAACATTAAATGACAAAAAGTCAAGCTGAATTAATCTAAAGGAAAAATGTAAACAAAGATAGTCTTCTATGAATGTAAAATGTTATTGAATAAACAGCTAAAACAGAGGGCAATGCAAGGTATTTTCTATCAACTTCTATGTCCTTGTTTAGATATTTTAAATGAAATTTTTTTGGAGATGCTCAGTGCCCAGCTGATGAAATAAAAGAAAGGTTAATGTTAACATACTAATACTGCTCCTATCCAAAATTCACTGTGTTTGGGAACACTGAAGTTCAGGTACTTTGAGATTATTTACAATGGATAACTTTGAAGGTTTACATTTTTATCATCACAGCCAGCCATACCATTTTCACGCCCTTTAGTTACCTCCTATAAAATCTGACTTCTTTAAACCCTGGAACATTAATGCATTTACCCAATCTAGTTGAAAAGGAAATTAATACTACAGTTATTTGCTGACAATTTTATGAGAGTATTCACATTGGCTATACATGTTACTGAGTCTGAATCCACAATGTTGCTGTTGCAAACGTAATGAATACATGCATAGAACACTATCAGAGTTCACTGCTCACAAATATGAAAAATTCAGAAGAGCTTAATAATCAAAAATTGCTCCTTCACTTCTAGTATTTTCTTTAAACTTATCTGCTGCAGAGCAGATAGGCTATTTGACAAATGGTTAAGCATCAAATCCTGGATGACTTTGGAAAAAAGCCTGCATTTTAAAGTAACATTTTTATAAGTGTGTGTGTGTTGTGTACTTTTACCTTGACAAAAAAAAAGGGTCTGTAACACCACTAAGGTTGGTTAGGAAAAAGGAAATACAGAGGTCAATCCTCTGGTAGGATTGTTAGCAGGCATGAACGATGCAGAGTAGCCTGCTAGGATGGTCCAGTAAAATGATATCCAGTACAGCTAGCTGTAGCATTTAGAGACTGTAAAGCTACTCTGGACTATGCACTTTCATCAAAATGGAGATGTTTTCAAGAAACATTCAACAAAGTTTTGACAGGAAGGGTTGACAGACAGGCACCCCTCTTTTATTTTGAACACATTTTCATGAACTGAGTACCTCAGGTTTTCATTAAAAGATGGACATTTCACCACATTTCCTTCTCTATCAGAACATTTGACAGATTTTGTCTTCAGTTTGAAACAGAACAAAAAAACAATTTCATAATCTCAAAAACTGCTGTGAAATGAAATTGCCATCCCCTAGACCTTTACTGCTCAGTTTCATCTACTACTGTATGAGTACTAAGATTGGCTTCTGAACTTGGTCATTTATGTAGATCTAAAATAATTCTCACTTATGCAAATTAAAATAATTGAGGTTAGTACCCACAGGACAGAAAAATATCTACTTCTTCACAGTTCATCTAAGGATAAGGATCAGAATAATCAAAATTGAAGTGGACCATGGATCTGGGTTATGTGAGAAATGCATTAATTATTGTGCATTCAATGTATTAAAGTTAATTCCTAATCTACATGAACTCTGATGGAAGAACTTCAGCATGATGGACTTTCCTACAGGTACAAACAATTTTCTCAGTGATTCAGTAAGGTCAGAACTTCCCATATGTAGTTCTCATACTTGTGAAAAAAAAATATGACAAAGTCCCTACGCTCACAGATCCATTTTTAAATAAAAAGTGTTTCTACACATGTTTTCACTTTAGTTTGACCCCCTTCTTTGCCTGTGTAAGTTAACTTTCAGGGTAACAGAAAAAGACTTGTTTGTTTTGTTTTGTTTTCTCCCAAATTTATGGCAATGCTGAAGGGACTGCTAGTAGACTGAGGTAAAAATAGTTGATAAGAATTTTGGGCAAGACCTGTTTTCCCTTTGAGTTAAGTCCTCATATGGGTGTATGATACTGATACAAAAATTACTGACTAGTTTGGCTATTAGTCATTATGCTATCAAGAGAGATTTAGCTTCCAAAGTGCTCTGGATGCAGAGGATGAGGGGAGAAAAATGTGGATATGCAGCAGGACTGATACTATTACTCACTAAGCATCACCATTCCAGTGTAAAAGCCTATGGATCCCAATTTTAGGATTACATAAGAACAATGCACAGGTACCCTATCCTATTCCCAACCTGCCAGAGCTCTTTGGCATGCTAATTTTGCAAGTTTACAATTGTACCTGTTTGCAAAGGGCAGCTTATTTCATTATCTAACATCGTGAAATGGATGTCTAGCTACTCCTTACTCATGCAAGTTCCCGATTTTCTCGGGTTTCCCAGACCATAAATAACACACAGATGAGCCATAGCTTTGAAAAAAGATTTGAACACATAGTTCTGGTGAAAATGACTTTTCAAGTTAGCCTAATTAAGGAGGGCTAGAAGCAAAACCAGTAGAAATATTTTTGTAAGGGGCCAAGAAGACCTATTATCTTCATTCTTCAGGTAGGGTTTGGCAGATACCTGTTCTCTTACCTCTGCAAAACATGGACATATCTGAGGATGTTTTACATTTTGATGTAGGATTATATTAAAGCACTCTGTTTGCAAATTGGACTTGGAAAGGTAAGTATTTCCTTTGTTTGGTTAAGTCAGCATAAGGAGGTAAAGAGGATAAATCACTATTGCTTTTCTAAATGTGTGAACTCAACAGGGTGATTCGCATAAAAAATCAAGCCCAAGTTATACACCCAGCTGAACTGTGGCCTGTGCTAACTGTCACTCTCCACATTCATTCCTGAACTGCTACTATTTTGATTTCACTCGCTTCAAGTTTTACCTTGGTTTCCTCTTTTTCACTATATGATCACAGTGAAGAACAGATAGTTAAAATGAAAGGGGTTTATATATTCTTAAGTCTGCAATATTATGTATCCGACTAAAAAAACCTAAAGTAAGTCTTTTTAATTTCCTTTTAAAAAGGTGACAACAGGAATTGTTGCAGACATCAGCCAATTAAATAAATAATGCATTGTGTGAAGGAAGCTTCTTCAAACAAAGCAATACTCACATTTTCAGCAGTTATTTGAGATTTTGATAGGAAACAGAACAGAAGCAACAAGAAATCACGAGGCAGTGGGTAAGACCTCCTTTTAAAAATGTGCCAAGAAATGTCAGTGTGACCTTAGTAAAAATTCAGGCATAAAAGGGGGAAAAAAAATGCCTAAACATAAAAAACTAGCAGTCAAATATGAAATCTGTAAGAAGAGGGGAAAAATAAAGACAACTAAACATATTAATTTATTAGCTTTGTATTCACTGTCGATATATTTGAACACATTGCCATTTTTTATCATTGTTATGGTATTTGATTTGCAACAAGAAGTTAAAGGTGATATTAATGACTTGAAAAATCACTGAACATACTTTAAAAAGGAAATATTCAAGATCCCCTAAGTTTTAGTTACAGTCTACAGTTTGCCATAAAATTATGTTTGACGAACAGAAAGTGCAAGCATCGCCAATGCTCACACAATCTCAAAAAATCTGTGTAAGTAGTTAGCTGGAAATATGTCTGTAGGGAAATGTATAAAATACAGCAACTATTCAAGGAGGAGAAAATTTTTTTGTTATGCAATATTCTGCTCAGTGTACAAAGCAACAGCTCAGGAATACTTCTTCTATAACTGTTACCTTTTTGGCAGGTTATAATTTTCTTCTGAAGCTGAAGGCACAAATCGTAGAGATGGTCAGCTTGCCAGTACTTAAGAAACACTTTTCGGATTCCTATCTAGAATACAAACAGCAGGGAAACCTTCACCATCAACAAAAAAGGCCAAAACGATGACAGGTAAATAACGATAGTACGTATACAATCCAGATAAGGGTTGAGATGAGATCTGCAATTTAAGAACAGTACAATGCCAATACTTGTACAGAGAGGTAGTATCACTTGGCTGAATAAAAGATGTATTTGGAAAGGACGAGCAAGCTGTCAGACACACAGTCCCCCTTCACTTCCAAAAACATCCAGAACAAGTACTACAATCTTCAAGTTAAATACAGGTTGGAATAAAAAGCATTCTGAATGTAATTATGCTAATGTGTCCAACAACGTAACAGAAAATAAGGCTTAGCTTTTATGAAACAGGGGGATGTGGGCAAGGAGAAAGGTGACAAGCCACAAACCCATGTGGAACAGAAAATGGTAACAGATAGCTGCCATCTGTGGAAGAGGAAGAATTTAGCCCAAGTTGGAGGATGAGAGCAACTCACTGCCATTAGTGAGAATGATGCCTAATGTCCAGTAATAATATGAATCCTAGTTCCCAGCCTTGCCTGCTGAAGCTGTGCTGCAGGTCTTCTTTTAGAATCAAGCCTAAGAACTCGGAGACAGAGGGACTCATCTATGAAAAATAATCTCCTAAATACTGATTGAGCGTATGAGCTTATTCTGGTGCTGACTAGTTGCTTGGTTTAACTCAGTTCTTGAGGGTCTTAATAACAATCATTAGATGCTCTTTCCCCTTTACAGAAAAATTTAGCCAGTTAGACCAAAAGAAAACACCTTCCTTTTGATACCTTCTGAACATGCTGAAACAATCCTTAAAAAAAAAAAATCTTCACAAGCATTCCTTTCTAATAGCCTTAAAAAAACCCCAAACCACACACAACCTAGCTACTCTAAGAACAGTAACTAAAAAAATTGGATAAAAAATGGCTTTTCTTATACCATTTTCTTCTCAGGAATTCCGTAGAAGAAACTTTCCTTCAATTCTTCAAAATAAAAGGACCAGTATCAGAGAACCGTGCTATCCAGTGAAGATTATAGCTTCTGCCTGACTATTAATTTTGTATGGCTAATAGGCATACTGATTAATTAATACAAGTCTGGCTGAAATTGCAGAAATTCATTCCAACTCTTGTTTGTCTGCAGCGCACAGTCTCATTCTCTTCTCATTGAACCATCCTGCTCCACTGTGATGTTTTTCAGTATAGATCTGGGAGGCAGGTATCGGCAGGGATATTTGCACACCTTTTCAACTAATTTTTAATCCAAACACTACTGTCAGAAGTACATCACTGGTAGTGATGAACTACAGAAAGCCAGGGCATATATATCATGTCTAAACTCTATTAACAGAATTCAGAAATGACTGGGACACATTTTGTCCCTTGGTTTCCCTTCTCTCTACTCTAGAGAGAAACTATTTTGAATCTAATGTTTTAAAAAGTCTCTGATTCTGAAGTTTGAGCTGACAGACAACGATGGTGCAACTGTTGGTCTTGTAGTTAAAATGAGATGCACTCACATGGCAAAATTAGAATGCTTTCTAAAATTTTTTTCCTTTAGTATCTCTTTTCCCAACAAAATAGGCCTTTTTGTGTTACTGCAAAGTGTGTGAAGGCAAGGTGATAAAAACACATTTTACTTGTCTTGCCATTCTAGAAACTCATAAATAGGGAATACGCTTTCTTTCCATGGTGGAATATGCCTGGAACAGCTATTTTAGAAAACTGTGCAGCTACAGAAATACTAGTATAACTTAGCTATTCCAGAGTAGCTCTTCTATTCAGAGCATCTATTCTGGAATAATCCTTCTGCTTACAAATTGGAGTATTCCAGAACAATATTACCTTTTCCTAGATCCTGTTTCTACAATGGCCACCACCCTGGTAAAATGATGTCTTTATATTAACTTAATAAAATATCTTGAGTGATGCCTTCCAATTTTTAACTTCATCTGAGGCAATCTCACTGAGATCTCATGCTCCCATACTCTGCCCTTAGGGAGTACTCTCATCCTCATTTTCTTCACCGGTGACTTCCAGCAAAAGTTCTCACTTTTCTTCCTGTGCTTTCAAAGTTCTTTTTTTGCCTGCTTGTCTTAGTGCTCTGACTTCCTTCTTCATCCATCATCTGTTCTGGAATCTGCTTCTTTCCTAGGGCTTGCTAAATTTCTTTAGGAATCTCTCCTTTTGTCCCCACTTCTTTTCCTCCTTATTTCATCAAAAAGTTCTAAGAAAAAGAGGTCGACCACTTTCTTCCTCAGTTTAAATTTGCTTCTTTTAGACATCTAATCCTGTATCATGAACAAGCAAACTTTTCATGTTTTCCCAGCAAACCGTATCAATTTTCTCCTCTCTTCCCAACAAGTATTCTATTTTTGTGCCTTCAACATTCTTCCAGGACACCAGAACTCTACCTTGACTCCTCCCACCACACGCACTCTGTCACTAAACCCTGTGAATTCTGTAATAACTGCTCATCAAACAACCATTTTTTCCATCCATCTTGTCAAAACACATACTGAACTTTCCTTATTACTGGCTTTGGCTACTAAACCCTCCATCTTCTTGCTCACATCACATTAAATCCAGAATTCTTCTATAAGAATAACTGAATTATTATTCATATGGTTAACTGTAATTAAATTATCATGTAGTTATTATAATTACCATTTGTATCTGAGTAGCTCTTAGACAACCAAAGCCTGGATACAAATACTTAATAAAATCATATTCTTCTACCCTGATTACATTTTCTCTTTATACTCCACTTTCTCTTTATACTCCACTTCCCCTTTCCACAAACCCACTACATCACATTGCAGTCTTTTTTCCCCCCTCTGTCTCAGGCCTATGCCAAATCATCCACTTTTTCCTCATTTTTGCCTCTTTCCCTCCATTCCTCAAAATGCTCATTTCTCCCCTTACTTCCTCACTGGAAGTCTCAAAAACATTCTTCTCTACTACGGCAATATTTTGGTACTCTGACAGTAGGAAAGGGGATGAAGAGTTACATTTTGAAACCTTAAAAAAGCCCTGATTACTAGCAATGCCCATGGCAAAATTAATAACCCTATTCTTGATTAGTCTCATAATTAATACAGTGGTCACATCTAGGCTGTATTTCAAATGCGTAACATAACTGAACATTGAGTTGCAATTTATTTTGCAGTCTGCAGTCACAAAATCACAGTCAAGACAATTGCTCAAGCTTATGGTCAGTTCAGCTACAAGTGTCTGGCACTGCAGGGACAAACAAAGCATTAGCCCTCCTTTCTCCCATCCTACACCCTAGGAACAACATAAATGGAGTTACTGTGGCATCACTTACGCTATGAACTTCATTAGTAGAAGCCTGCTACAATTTTTAAGTGAGTGAAGAAATATCAAATGTCAATACAAATTCATTTTTACATTCAGATAAAAGCTATTTATAGATATTACATCATATGCCAGGTCTATGGAGAGCAGAGCTCTAGACAGAAGCATGTATAGAAGAAACTGCTATAACACATTTGATTATGTTAGTATGGCTGGAGATCTGTGTTGCTCAGTCTTTGAACCAAATCTGATACCCTCTAAAGCTGACCGAGAACAAGCTAGTCTCACTGCCCTCTGTACAGCTCTGGTGTTCAGTGAAAGCAATAATGCTGAAAAATGTTGGAATTTCATATGCCAGATATCAAAACAGTTTTTGAGGCTGCCACCTGTCTTCACTCTGTTTTTTTCTCTAATCACAAAATGCTTCCTGCTTGCCTAGGGGAAAAAAAAGGCTAAAATGCTCTTCCGCTAAAGCACTCACTTCTCAGTACTTTCTGGACTACAAAGTGCTCTCATCTGAGTCTGAATTTTTAATGTCATTCAGACTCCTGTAAAAGTAAACCATCTGTGAATTACAGTCATAGTTATTTTAATTAGAAAAGCATTAGGGTTTTAAATGTTATTTTTCAAAATGACACATTTTTTAAAGATTAAGTAAAATTGTCATTGATGACTACCAAAGCCTCAATTACTGCTACAGGCCTCCTTTTTTTTTTCCTGGGAGGAAGGAGAAAGGATGGGGGGGAGCTGCTCTTTCTCTCTTTCTTGTTTTTTTTTTTTTCCCTTCTTTTTTTTTTCTTTTACAGAAAAGGTGTAGGATGTAGAAGTACAGACATTCAAAACTACGGAATGGATGCTGAGATGGTGTGTAGGTGGCATGGAGGCAGTATTAGCTCATACTTAATAGGTGTCAAGGGAATCTGTAAAGCTGTTCTTTAGTTTAAAAAAGGCAATTTGTGGGAGTGCTGTGTGTTTCTGGCAGTACTTTCAAAATAGCTACCTACAAAAGACAGAGAACTATAATCTAATGATATTTTACACAATGACACACATTTTAACAGTGCATTAATGAAATGTAGAAAAAAGCCTTAAAACTATTGTAAAATGTGTCTTTTTGCAGTGTACATGTCTGCAAAAATATTGTAACGACAAACACATTTACAGGGTACTGATCTTTTACAAGGACTGAAATGTTATTTTAAAAAGTCTTACTCTCTCTGCTTTGTTTGTTAGCTTTCTTTACACATTTTAAGAGTCCTCCTTTGTCTCTGGCAAACTAGTGACCTTCCACCATGGTACATACTGAATAAACCTACAGTTTAGCATAGATTATATATAGCCTTAATATAAAGTATGTGAGTAGTCCAGTATTCACGCAAGTGACATTAGGCATTTATGTAAGCACTTGTCAGGAGTTGGACTTTAGGGAGAAAAACTGTCATTCACCTCTCTGGGAAAGGGCAGAAAAATGGTCATTCCTTTTCCAAAATCAGTACAAACTTCACAGCTCTTTGCACTTGTGAGGTGACAAAAAGGACTGCATTACAGGAAAGGAAGCGATCAGGAAATTTAAGATGCATGTAAGAAACACTCAGTGGAGGAAACCCTACCCCAGTTTTATCCCATGGGATCTCTGTACTTACTGGACCTATCATTCTAGTCTTTCAAAATTCTAGAAAT